AGAGATATACATATTCATTGTACTCGAACTTTAATTATTAGCTAGTCGAAATGATTTAAACGGCAGAATGGCTTTCGGTGAAATCATTTCGATCGGCTAATAATAAAGCTTCTATTTCTTCTTTCTTCATATTACTTTTATCATCCTTTTTTACTGTACCATTTGTCCAATAACGTTCATAATTGTACGTACAGTAACAGAGTTAAGAATAGGATAGAAAAGGAAACGGAGATTCATTTGTAAATGAGTGATGAGTTAATTTTGCTTGCGAACAGTTTTGAATAATTTATCCATCCATTTTTGTTCCATCATTTCAGTCTTTTTTATAAATTTGACCTCTTTTTTGCCTTCATACTTAATTCATGTAGATTACTTTCATAAATTCATTCTGCAGCTCAATATGTAGACATTTGAAGATGTATCCTATACTAACTGGTCAGTTGGTGTTAAAATATTTGATTCAAATAATAAAAATCATTCAAATAAAAAAGACATTTTCTCCTTTACCTTAATATACCTTGCTTAAAACATAATTAAAAGCACTAACCGTGAGCACGAAAAAAAATAAAACGGTGCATTGGAAGAAAGAATGTAATTTTACCATACACATACACACACACACACATACATACACACGTATGTGTGTACGATATAATCCTCGTACGTTGTAATATTTTTCAATTTTTTCAAACATTTCAATGACTTTTTTCACTCTATCTATCCTTCTTTATTCATTTGTAAGAAATAATATTTCATCGAGTAATACGAGATAAAATGAGTTTTCAAGTTCAATGGAATGATAGCAATCACTTTAAAATGTTTTAAATTTATTGTAGTTTCAAGTTATCAGAATTTTACATTAGACATAATTGTCATTATCAATAAGTAAAATTTTGTTTAATATAAAAATGGAAAAAGAAGTTTACTGGAGAGGTGATCAAAAATTCTCAATAGTTTAAGGTTATTGAGAAAAGTTGAAAAAAATTTTTTTTCCAATTACCTGAAAGAGAATGAAAGAAGTTAAGAATTAATGTAATTCCCGTATCAGTTACATTATTGCAAATTTAAATTGAATGGACATTTTTTTTCCCCGCACAATTGAACGAATATTTTTTGTCCTTTTTGCACCTATACATTCACATTATATCTCGCTTTTTTTAGGTCACCTAAAAATTAATTGATTTACTTTTCCATTAAAATGAAAAAATGTAATTCAATTTTATTTCAAAAATTTTTTCCAGAGATAAAATCTATTCTTCGATTGCGGATTACATTTGAGAAATACCGGATCAAATGATCAATCCGTTTAGTATTGAAATAGCAATCATTTTAACGCGTCTATGTCATTATCATTCTTTAAGTATTCAACTAATACTAAAAGTATGTCATGTAACAGAAATGAAAAGAAAACTTGAATAAAGCCATTTATTTTCTAAAAGAAAACAATAAAGGTCGATTTCAAATAACATAATTGCATTTATAGAAAGTATAATTGAACATTTGATCGAACAGGTTTGACATTATTTTGTGGTAGATCATAAAATGATAACGGTGTTTCGACATAGCGTCCTCCTCCATCAGCATTCTCACCTGTAAAATCACAAAAAAATTCCTGCTAAACTTAAATTATCACTTATAAATTGTAGCATTTTTGAATTTCATAAAATTCTGTTATTCACATTCTATTGCTTAATAAAAACCAATTTTACAATCGAATCATTAACAATTATAGCAATCTCTCTGATTCACTTCTTTTTTTTTTTTGAGATATTTATTGTACGATTTATTTATATTGTATTCTCTACAATCATTTCCTACAAAAATTAAACTAAAAAAAAAAAAAAAAATTATAAAACAAACCTATCGGAACATTATCATATCGGCTACAATCATTATGTAGTGAGCAAGTGCTACTACTACTACTACTACTATTACTACCACCATTGCTATTGCTACAGCTACTTCTTCTGATCACATCAGACCATTCATCGGTTGAAGATGATCGTGAATTATTTCTAATTCCATTTTTTGATGATTTTTTTTTGCTTCTTGTTCCATTCGTATTGAAAGCTATATGTAAGCCATGTTCTAATTCAACATTTGCACTATTTCGTTTCGTCCATCTTTGCTTCATATCTTCTAAATTTGCTCCTTCCTCTGGTTGCTGTTCATCTTCATAGAAGCCAAAAAAGCGATAGCTATCAGATGACAAACTTACGCCATCATCGATACAGTCATTTCTAAAGTACAGTAAAATCAAACTTGTGCTTTTTTTTTTCTCGTTTCATACATAGTTTTGCAAAAATTTTCATTTAAAAAATAGAATTAAAAAAAAAAAAAAACGCACCGAGCAATTGAAGGCGGTCGGCTATTACCAGAATCACTGGTATCTAACGAAAATGCTTCCGGAATACTGCCTTTCACACTTGATTCTAATTTAGTATCTGTTGACTAAAATATATGATAAATGTTTGTGATAATGCTCAGGATATTAAGTAATTATTCTGAAAATTGAAAATAATTTCTTTTTTTTTTTAACCAGCTTCCTCAAAATTTCTATAAAATTATTTGATTTTCATAACTTTTCCTACTAATGATAATTTTGATATTTTATAACATTTCTAATGTTGCGATGTTTTGAAGTAAGCTTTACAAACAATTCCAAGATTCAAAAAAAAAAATTTTTTTTTTTTTTCAAAAATAACAAACATTATTCTACAACATAAATTTTCAATAATTTCCTAAAACTGGGAGTTTTTTTTTTCTTTTTTGAAACTGATATTTCAATATACATTGCTTACTGTCGATGGTTGTTGATCGTTAGCCAGAAAACTTGCCAAGCCTCGACGTCTTACAAGTTCTGTTGCAACCGCTGTTGCTGTCGAATGTCGTTCATCGCCTGCACTATTTGTTATGGAATCATCACGTAATGTTGGAGCACAATGTCGCCAACTTCGTAAAACACCATTACGGAATTCCTCAACACTTTTTGTAACGAATGAAATTAATGATGCACTGCGTGCAGCACGCAATGATGCTCGAACATTTGATGAACTCCTGAAAATGTATGTGTAATGTAAATAAAAGAATGCAAAATTTTAATTTATCTAAAAGTTTAAAAGCGAAAAAAACAGCTGTACCTTCGCCATTTCACATTGTTAGCCGAATTATCGTTGTCCAAACACGCTTCACCATGTCTTTTCCATCGTGTACGTAAGCTTGCAAATGCATTATCCATCGATGGACCACGCAACATGCGTCGCCATTTGCCACCAGGATGCGCACTTGTTTCTCTGCATTTCGAATTAATTTATGTCTCATTCTCAAACCCTGACAAGATCGACATTATATTGGAAAGCACAGAAGTCATACTGGACATTAATTGCCATTCTTGAAGATTACTTTTTCTCCGTATTTTGAACAACATTCAGTTGAAAGTCTGAAATTTGAAAGACTAACCTAAATTTGAATCTCTGATCTTAGACTAACTCATTGTAAATAACATATATCCATCCGTCCTATTATTACTTGAATGCATCATTTCACCAACCTGTGTCGTGGTCTTTCGATAACAGTATGAAATGTTGGCAGTGTCGAAGGTCCACCATTGACATCGATAAAACGACGACAATCCAAATCCGGTGACAAGGTACCACCGCTACATGATGATATCGATGATCTGCTTATCGTACCTAAAATCGAATGCAAATTTCATATCAGTACTTCTAAATAAACAATTAACTCATCAATAACTTAAATTAGCAAATTTTACATGAGAGTTAGAGGTTGTA